GAGAGAGAGAGAGAGAGAGAGAGAGAGAGAGAGAGAGAGAGAGAGAGAGAGAGAGAGAGAGAGAGAGAGAGAGGAGAGCAGGTAAGTCTCCAACCGCGCAGCCAACCTCATTGTACTTCCGTCGATCTGATGAGCAAAACCGGATGAATCTACAGCTAAAACATGGAAATATACACTGCCACACTTTTCCAACCTTTTCAAAACCCATCACTTTTAAACGATTCAGTGATGTCATCAGTAATTCGTCACCAACCCTGAAAATTAGGGTGAGTGTAGTGACTTAATTACTGCAGGTCATAACTATCAAACGTAATTTACCATAGGAAGTAAGTGAACATATTACGGTTTCAAGCTACGATTATATGGCTGATGCCATTTGTGCAGCTATAGGTGACAATGTCATGGTTTCAGGTGACTATAGGTGACATGATTTCAGACGGCTATAGGTGACATGGTTTCAGACAACTATAGGTAATGTGATTTCAGGTGATTATACACGATGTGATTTCGTGTGACTATGTGCCTAATTAGATCTTAGGAAATTATGCGCCTGAGGCAACTACACGTGACCTGATGCAATTTCAGGCAACTATAGATGATGCGACTTCAGATGGCTATCCGTCCTGTGATTTCAAGGGACTCTCTCTGATGAAATTGCAAACATCTAAACCCCTGATGCAATTTTTTGCAATGAAAATTAATGGCACTGGTGAACTAAGATTGCCAAAGGGCAAGTTAACTTTAGAAAACCATTGAAGTAAACTGCAGTAGAAAGCCGCAGTAGAAAGCCGCAGTTACTTTATTAGGAGTTCTTAGACTCCGAGTCTCTAAGAGTCCAAGGTAAAAAGCGGTGGTTAACCTGCAGTTACTTTATGAAGTTATCATGGTGCAAGTTAACTCGAGATATTATTACTTGCATTAAGAGTTATAAAGCCCACCTCTCTGCGGGCAATTACTGCTTACTGCAGTGAACTGCGATGATGACCTTGCTGGTATCTGACGGTTATCACTTGAAATTGACACATCATCAGCACAATAAATTTTGGTGCAAGTAAAAAGTAACTCCATGCAAAGTAATTTGCTGGGAGAATAGAGACTCATGTTTGGATACGTTACTGCAGTAACAACAAGCAAAACATGAGTTACAGTAACTTTTTACTGTGTGAATTCAAGCTCATGCCCATACAAGAGTTTCTATCAGTGCAGTAATCTACTGTACATGGAGTTACTGTTTGTTTCCAATAGGAGTTACTGTGGCTGAAGATACATACTTGGCAGGGATTTTTTTTTTTTTTTTTTCATCCTCATGTAGCCGGTATTGCCTACCTGCAGGTCGGGAGCAGCCCCAGCATGCTCTCACGTGAACACAGTTCTGGCTGCGACGGGGTTCCAGTATGCCTACAATCAGGAGTAGTGGTAGGTAGGTAATGTGAGGTGAAATTGAGAGAAGAATATAGCTTTTTAAGAAAAATAAAAAATAAAATGAAAAGAAACCTAGGCTACCAGCTAGGCCAGGCCGGGTCACCCTGTTTTCCCGGGCAGCCTGCCCATGCAAGGACCATGCAAGGTCCCCGCAAAAAAGGCAAAAAAAGTGAAAAAACTAAAAGAAATCCGAAAAAACACTACGTTATGCAGAGAAAAAAACTGGACAACGTTTGCCTCGGGGTGATATCGAAATTCTTCACCAAAGTTAAAATAGAAAATACTTATATATATAAAATATATATACATCATATAAGGTAACCGACATTCGGGATTCGGAACAGGAACCCGAACGCCCGAGCGTATGGGACCCCTTGGGCATGCGGGCCGAACGGCGAAAGCGAACTCAAAAAAAGAAATTTTAAAAAAAGAAAAAAAGTGGCAAAAACTGTGAAAAAACATATGTTATAATGAAACATAAAAGATAAATGAAACAAGATTTTCCTGAGCATTACATTCAAATTCCTTACCAAATTTGAAATAAAAATAAAAAGTTAAGGCATCAATTTACCTCATTTTGAAAAGTGAAATAAATTGAAAATTGTGAATATGAAAATCTACTTCAATTTTGTCAAAAAAGCAAATTCAGGTCTGCAATCCATTGGAACAAATAACCAAGTTAAGGCATGCAAGTGGCATTCAGCAGGTCTTGGGTTCAATCCCCATTGGACTCATGTACCTTCCTGGGCATGGTCGGCACCCGCCACCCGGAGATAGCCCATTGCTCCCCCCCAAATTCGCATTAAAAAGCAGTCTCTGCTGATGATCATAGGTGGTGGGGTAATCAGGGAGGCACAGCGACTGGCCACTCAGATGATGCTCGGTCCCCCTGCTGCCGCTGTACCCCGGCCGGTGTCGCCCACTGGCCGTTCATGCCAAAACGCCACCCTGGTGGCAGTAAGGCCACCCTGGGCGGAAAAACCCACCCCGTGTTAGATTAGAGTCATTAGACACATGATTGAATTCACCTGGGCTGGTTAGTCCGAAGGGTAACTTACTCCAAGCAGCGCGACGAATATCCGCGCACCACATGAAGGGCTGCCTTGTTCAACCACCGCACGGCACATGGAAGAAAGTGTTTGCGTTACGTGGCAGCGAACCTATCCCCAATCTCTCCCTCTCTCTCTCTCTCTCTCTCTCTCTCTCCCTCTCCCCGCTCCTATCAGAGAGGCTCTGCACCAACGGCCAAGTCACGCACACATACAAACACATACACACACACACACACACACACACACACACACACACACACACACAGAGGAGACAAAAGCTTGCCTTGTGCCGCAGCCAGACTCTCCCTCACCGTGCGGCACCGCATGGAGGAAAGGGAGAATCTGGCTGCGGCACAAGGCAAGGTGAGGAAGAATCTGCCTGCGGCACAAGATAAGGTGAGGGAGAATCTGGCTGCGGCACAGGGCAAGGTTTTATCTCATCTCTCTCTCTCTCTCTCTCTCTCTCTCTCCCCTCCATGTAGCGCGGCACAGTGAGAGAGAATCCGGATGCGCCACATGGCAGGTTTTATCTCATCTCACCTCATCTCTCTCTCTCTCTCTCTGTGTTGTGTGTGTGTGTGTGTGTATCTCCGCCATTCCTGTGACACATGGCTGGTGGGCACTGCCTCCGTGATAGTGTCATTTCTAGACGAACCTGCCCGATGGTTTGCGATATATTCATTTGGCCTGAGCGTAGTGTGGTCAGATTCGTCCGACGCTGATGACACATAAATTCAACCGCCACCGCCTGCTCTTTTTTTCAATTAGAGCAGGAGCCATGCGAATCACCTGACTTTTTCCAACTTTGACGAATGTCCCAGGACGACGTCCCACGTACGTTGCTACTTCATCCTTGACTTCTGATCTTCGCAATTAACGGTCAAAAACTGAGAATTCAACTAAGTGGGACCTAGCCCCAAAAGGACAAAAGAGTTGAAAAGACACGTCTATTCAAATTCCGAAAAAAACAAAAGAATCATCGAGAGAAAATGAAGAGTATGTAGAGGCAGACGGCTCCTGGGGTCATCAAATTCCGAAAGGCCGGTATACTCGCAAACAAACCTTCAGAAAACCGTTGGGCGGCTACAGAATGGGCATTTTTTTCCCCAATAGATGACATTTTGCCGCCACAATAGCTCGCAGAAACATTATATATTGTCACATGATATCAGAGCGCCGAAGCGAAAAACAGAAAGAAAACAAGGAAAACAAAAAAAACTCGTCATCACTTTCTTTTTATCTTCTTTCTTACAACTCCCCCTATTGAGAACCTCTTGCGTACAAGGCCGCCCACGTGGATGTAGGTTGAGCGGCGGCTGCCCCCACCACCGTGTGTCATATCGACCCACTTGCACACAGCCAAAAGGCAAAGAGGCAAAGAAGAGACGAAGGGGACAACCAAATCAAACAGAACAGGGGGCGACACAGATCCCAGATGACAAGTCCCACATGCAAGCACCGCCCCAGACCTACACAGGCCAAACGCCGGGACAAGACCAACCAGGATGTCAAAACACTCTTGTCTGCAAAGAAATCAAATGACATCCATTCTTGTCTGCAAAGAAATAAAAAAAAAGTACCAAAAGAACCCGTCCGGGATGACGATTCCCACATACAAGCACCACCCCGCGCTCAAAAGGCCGAACAACGGGAAACAACCAACCAGGATGCCGATTCGCCCTTTTTTCGATTTTTTTCAATTATACACAAAAAAAAGGGTCTCAGTCCTCATTACCAACACAATCACATGGTCCGCTTACAAGCGGCTGCGCCAGAGTTCGCATCAAAACATTCAGCAGTACCCACAACACTGGGCAGTACAAAAAGTCCAACGACATAGGGCGTCGTTCCCTGACTAACTACATGCACAAAAGACAAAACAAATGGCGGTGCATCTGTCCGTGTTGTAGCGGAAGATTCAATCTGACGCTGCACGTTTGCTGACTAGCGGAGCAAACACTACCGAAATTCCAACGACATAAAACCTCGTTCCGTTACTCACCACATGCACAAAAGACCAAAAGGCTACGGCGGTGCATCTTTCCGTGATCTAGCGGAGGATTCCCTCTGATCTTGCAGATTTGGTGAGTGGTGGAACGAGGCCAATACTCAACAACACCGACGCTGTGCTGTCAATTTTTCCTCTGTACGGTATCATTCATTCCTCCAATGAGACAAAAATAGAATGAAAAAAAGACATGAGCCACTAGCATACTCTGCGCATTCCACCACGCACGTCCAGCGACTTACGTGAACATTTTTAAGTGCCCCATCACACACAGATTTTATCCGCGGAAACCCATGAGACAAGGGGGAAAATAAACACAAGGGGATAAAAATAAACACTTCTCTGCGCATTCCACCACGCACGTCCAGCGACTTCATGAACATTTTAACGTGGCCCATCACACACGTTTTTAAGTGCCCCATCACACACAGCCAACAGGAGGTCAATGCACTAATACAGGAAGCCGCATTCCACACTCCTTGCTAATCGCGTTTCGAGCACGGCTTCACGAAATTGTGGACGGAACAGACAAAAGCATAACAACCAAATCAGAAACTCTTCCAACCAACTCTTAACCTCTTTCTTATACACGAGATTGTGGCCACGTTGCACTCTTTTTCACCCAACCTGTTTCTTCCTTCATTGTCACCACGTTCCACACTCCTTGGCACAAATATAAGACGACCTATTTGTTTTTTTCCGATCTCTATCGCGAACTGTATACAGCGTGAATGGCTGTCAGCCTGTCGTATTACCATTTTCACTAACCGTTGAATTAGCCATCTCTAACAAAAAAAAAAAAATAAAAAAATAAAAAAAAAATCCCTAACCCTCGATTGACCACCATCTTATTGCACTCCCGGCGATCGTGATCGTGGCACAACCATCACCGTACAAGAAATTCATCGCCACTTGCCCGGTCTTGCCGGTCTCCCACAAGACACTTGGACACGTGAGAAACACGATCCCTTGGTGGCATTACCGCGGGAAAGAGTGGCTACTACCGCGCAGTTATGGATCCGTACATCTGGCCCTAAGCCCTCCTCCGTGCAAGCATGGACTCCATATGACGACCTCCGCCTCCAGAGCCCAGTCTCTTAACCACTACAGCCAGGACACCATCTCCTCGTTCAAAACTGCAACCTCTGCCGACGATCGCGCCTGTCACTTCACCATCTCCTTGCTATTCCTATTCGCAGCGACCGTCATCTCTCTTGACGTCAACGAATAAACGAGAGGACGGACATCCGCCGAGAAGACGGCCACTAATTTCTACTTCGCGAACGAGACTTCCAACTCAGAGAAGCACAACGCGCGGGATGATAGCGACTAGAACTTCACCATCTCCTTGCCATTGCTGCTTTCAGCTACCGTCATCTCTCTTGACGTCAACAAATAAACGAGAGAACGGACATCTGCGGAGACGACGGTCACCATTTAGTAATTTCTACTTAACTCAGAGAAGCACAAAGCGCTGGATATCATTACATATAGTGCCAATACTTGACGGTCGGTCGTGGTATGAAGGTGTCTCTTCCTTCCTGAAGGGGAGACGCGCGTTTGCGCGGGAGATACAATAACGTTCGCCCGGTCTGAACGTTGAAGAAATGCTGCTCAGCGTCGAGACCCGGTATCCGGACCACCAACTCAGATTCCAACCGTCTCCTTCAACGTCTCCATAGCCGCACTTGCTGTCTCCATAAGAGTATCAATTGCGCCTGCGGACCTCTGCTTTGACTCTTCCATCGCTTCGGCTGCTCGCTGACGCTCTTCATCCATAGCCTCCTTCGCCTGTTGCGATTTCTGGGCGGCGACCTCCTTCGCTGCCTCGTACCGCTCTTGGGCAGCGTCCTTGGCTTCCTGCGACTCAGCAGAGCTCACCTCCCTCGCTCTCTCAAGCTTCTCCTGCGCGCTTCTTTGTGCTTCCTCCAGTTTCTCTGCGGCCGTCTCCTGACCACTTCCTCCTCCCATTCCCACCTTCTCCTTCAACGTCTCCATAGCCGCACTCGCCCTCTCCTTTATATTTTCCACTACGCCTGCGGTCCTATGTTTTGACTCTTCCATGGCTTCGGCTGCTCGGCGTCGCTGTTCCTCCATAGCCTCCTTACCCTGCTGCGCCTTCTCAGCGGCAGTCTCCTTCGCTGCGTCGTATTTCTCCTCGGCTGCCTCCTTGGCCTCCTGCGACTTCTCAGATGCCACCTCCTTCCCTCTCTCGTACTTCTCCTGCGCGCTTCTTTTCGCTTCGTCCACTTTCTCTGCAGCCCCCTGCTTCGACTCCTGAACTGCCTCCTTGGCTTCTCCCCACTTCTCGGAGCCAACCTCCTTCGCTCTCTCGTACTTCTCCTGCGCTGCCTCCTTGGCTTCCTGCGTCTTCTCAGAGCCAGCTTCCTTCGCTCTCTCGAGCTTCTCCTGCGCTGCCTCCTTGGCTTCCTGCGACTTCTCCGAACCAACCTCCTTCGCTCTCTCGTATTTCTCCTGAGCGCTCCTTTTCGCTTCCTCCAGTTTCTCTCCAGCCGCCTGCTTTGTCTCCTCGTACTTCTCCACGCCAGCCTGCTTCAGCAGGTCCGACCCCGCGCGTGCCTTGTCCTGAGCCATCTCGCCCTCCTTGTTCCCGGAAGGACCGGAAGTCAAACTCCCCCACGTAGTACGACTTTTTAAACACGAGGCACCTCCCGTTATCTCGATCCCCCTCTGTCAACGGACGCAGGACTTCCTGCCAACAAGCCCGCTTTGTCAACGGATGCACGAGTTCCCGCCAACTCAAGCACCGACGAGTTCCCACCAACGAGCCCTCTTTGTCAACGATGCACGAGTTCCCGCAAACTTAAGCACCGACGAGTTCCCGCCAACGAGACCTCTCTGTCAATGGATGCAGGAGATCCAACCAACTCCGAGCACCGACGACGACCGACAGTACCCTGGAGAAGATGTAGATGATCTTTTTCTATTCTTTTCTTTTTTGTTGTTGGGCCGATGGACCACGAATCAGATATTGAACCGATCAGAACAGATACTGGACCACGGATCAGATATTGAACCGATCAGAACAGATACTATATTTGACGTTAGACAAAAGACCGAGAAAGGTATAGAGGGAGAATTTTCAGAACGACACTCAGCGGAGAAAGACACCAACTCAAGAGTTAAATTTCGGCAGCACTCCTTCGCGCCCTCTGCTTGTCAAGTTCCTCTTTCCAGACTGACTCCAACCTCTCCGCCCCTGCTCTCTCCCTCTCGTCTCCCCCTCAGCTCATAGATATAGCCACTGAAAGAATGATTGCAAGTGCTGCCCTCACCGCAGACTCTGCCAACGATAGATTCCACACCAGTATGCCCGTAAACAGAACAGAATACAAACCAGTTTGGACGTAATCTGCCAACGATAGATTCCACACCAGTATGCCCGTAAACAGAACAGAATACAAACCGGTTTGGACGTAAGGGGGCTAGGTCCCACTTACACGAATTAAGCGATATAGACCGTAAAATAGCAAAGATCAACGGCCAGAATCTCTTAATCCGTGCAAGTGGGACCTTGCCCCGGGGGCCAAGTCCCACTTACCCGAATGGTCGATTTCGGGCCGCAGATTCGGAAGATCCAGGGACCAGAAATCAAGGATCAGCGTAAGTGGGACTTGGCCCCGGTGGAGTTCGAACTCAGGTCTCCATTTCAACAGTGTCACTTCACTTCAGCTCAGGGTGTACCAACTGATCCTGCCCAGTTGGTACGTACACACGTTTAGGGCAACGTCTGGACTGACCTAACTGTAGGCTTGCCTTGCGACCTGGTTCCACCACTCGCCAACTCCGAAAGTCCCGAACGAATCAAGCCACGTTCCCGGGCAAGTTACACTCGTTCTTTAACTTTTTGAGGACTTGGTGCATTATAGTTCCCCTTTTTCTCTCTCTCTCCTCAGTCTTCCCCACCTTGCCGTTCCCCGGCCGTGTTTCTGTCCGCCCGACGTATGGGATTTCCACCTGTCGGATCTGATCTGTTGTAGGATGTGCCTCGGCAAACTGAAAAGACAGGAGGGCGAAACGACCGACGTGCTGTTAAAGACATGTCTTCCTTCCTTCTAATAATAGATGGAAATCAGATTGTCATCTTCGCGTTCGAGAGACACTGTTACATGTATCGAGAAACGTTCTCTCTTCTTGCGTCGCGTCGCGCCGCGCCGCGCCGCGCCGCATTGCGCTACGAAGGGCTGCGGAGAAGTTTTGTTCTACAGAAGTTTATAAGCACTTGGGAGGTGCGCAAGTACCATCGATCAGTGCGGACTGGGATGTGCAATTACAGATCGGGACGGGTTGAACGGGTGAAGAGCAAGGAAGGAGAGAGAGAGAGAGAGAGAGAGAGAGAGAAGCTGTGATATTCCTCTTAGTGGACGTTATTTGGTGTACAGAGCAGGAAGTCTCTCTCCTTGCGCCACGGTGGCGATAGTTTTTGGCGCTTCTACGGAATTCGATGAAGAAAAAGGAAGGGTAGAAAGAAGAGTTTAAGGGGGCTATACAGCAAGGGGGAAGTGCGAGCGTCGATCAGGACTGACGAAAAGCAGTGCAAGGGAAAGGCGAGTGAGTGTCAGCTTCACACACACACACACACACACACACACGCACACGCGCACAAACAAACACACACACACACACACACACACACACACACACACACACACACACACACACACACACACACACACACACACAGAGTGATGGCGTCGGAGAAGGCACGTGCTGGAGCAGAGCAGATGAAGGAGGCCGGGCGGGAAGGATACGAGGAAGGAAAAGGGTCTGCGCAGGAGAAGTTCGAGCACGCGAAGGAGACTGCTGGCGGCAAGACGCAGGAAGCCAAACAGGCTATGGACGAACAGAAGCAGCGAGCGGCAGAATCGATGCAGGAGCAGCAGGAGAAAGCCGCGAGCGCCACGCAAAGCCTGAAGGAGAAGGCAGGCCCAGCTATGGAGGGTCTGAGGGAGAAGATGGGGATGGGTGGAGCCGGGGCAGGTGCAGACCAGGGAGGGCAGTGAGGAAGGAAGCACAAGCGTTTTCTCGACGGGATCCTCGTTGCATAAAAACTCTCTCCGGCCATGAATGTACTTGGCCTCTGTCGAGGTCACATGCAGATTAGCTTGCCAGAGCACTTACCGCCGCTCGTTCGAAAATACACAAGTCACGATCTGTATGGGATCTAAAAATGCGACCGCTTACAGATCTAGTGAGATGGTCGCATTCCGGTAAGAAGGGAGGATAAATAATGCACTGAGCGCGTACTCACACTAGAACTTTCGTGGATGTACGGGTAATGCACTGAGCGCGTAATCACACTAGAACTTTCGCGTAATCACACTAGAACTTGCCAGGTCGAATACTCTACCGGCGCGCCTTTGCCGACCAGGGCCAGATGCACCTGACCGCAATTCCGTCCACAAATTAGTGGAGAAAGTCGTAGTTTGAGTCTGCTATTGCCGCGGCAGTGCAAATTGTATCCATAAGTGTAGAACGCACGGCCAGTGTATGTTGTATGTAGACGGAAAGTTACCCTTGATGCAGATATCTGACATCTTTGTGATTATATATCTTGGAGCGGGTGGAGGGAGTGGTCGGTACTAAAGTGTGGAGGGAGTGGTCGGTACTAAAGTGAATGAGGAGAGTTGTAGTACTAACTAGATAATCAATGATCGGTCGTGCGATAATCAATGATCGGTCGTTCGATAATCAATGATCGGTAGTTCGATAATCGATGATATGATTGGTCGTTCGATCGGCTCCATTAGAAAAGGGAGAAAAGAAAAAACAGTCGTAGTGACCATGAAGATAGTACAGTTGAGTTTTGTGTACAGTTGACTTTTGTGTTTTAGAAAAGACAGTTGACTTTTGTTTACAGTTGACTTCTGTGTTTTAAAGTACAATCGGTAAAGTTTTTCGGTGGGAGATGTTCTCTTGGAGTTGAGTTAGTCACAGTTGCTTTTCTGCGAGAAAAAAAAAAAAAAAAAAAAGCTGGATTGAGTATCGTTTTTTTTTGTGTTTTATTTTCAACAGGGGTTAGACAACCCCGGATGCTACAAGAGGGTAGGTAATTAATCAACCCCGGATACTACAAGAGTGGGGTGATTAATCAGTTCCCCATTATGGGTCGATGGAACTTAGCCTTAAGGACCTCTGCTGTAACTGGAACGATACAGAGAATAAATATTTGCATTGACCCCTGCTTATGGATGGCTGTGGATTATATGCATAAATCGCGAAATGTTTTTTTTTTTTTTTTTTTTTTTTATTGCGTGTCATCCTTGCGCAGGGTCCATGCTGATCTTCTCTTTATCGTTCCAATTTTAACGTATGTCCCGAGGGACGAAATGTTTCTATTTTTTCCTGTCTGTTTACTGTCTGTTTTTCGTCTGTTTTTTGTCTCTGTCGATTGTCCGTTGATCGCAAAACATGTCTGTCATGGCCTTCGGGACATCTGCTGTAACTGGAACGATACAGAGGGCCTCGCTGCACTACTATCGACATGCACAAAAGACAAAAATCGCTACATCTTTCCATGTTAGTGGAAGATTCACTCTCGTTTTGCACATTTCGAGAGTAGTACAGCGAGGACCAGAGAATGGATATTTGCACGACCCCTGCTTGTGGATGGCATTGGATTATATGCATAAATCGCGAAATGTTCCAATTTTTTTTTACTGTCTGTTTATTATCCTCTTTTTTGTCTGTCGATTGTCTGTCGATTGTCCGTTGATCGCAAAACAAATCTATAAATAGATTGCAGCTTGACGACCAGCTGCCCGTAGTCTGAATGATTGCGCCTCTCTTTTGCATCTGTATCTCGTTTCCTTGAGGAAAAATGAAAAGGGGGCGTTATCCCTATCCCGATCAAGATGAGGATGGAATCGTCGGGACTCGGGACTGTGGTCGATGGCGGGCGGACGAGGTGGGTAATACTTGTTCGAAACTAGACCAGGTGCAGCGCTATGTTGTATGCACAAGATTTTCAAATTGCATACAGTCACGTCGCTCAGTGGAAAACATTGCGCAGTTTGTGTGCGCTTTCAAAGAACATCCTCTGAACTTTCTACGCCCGTCTCAGCCGGACGTAGGACGATTGTGTACCTGGACGTTATTTGGATTGTGAGGCTTAGCGTATGTGCCGCCTCGGATCTTCTTGTTCCCCGAAATACAACGCCGTCTTGTTTGAAGTGAAATTTGTAGACGGGAAACTGCTCGAGTTACAGCTTTGATGACTGGGCGTTTTATTCGGGCAAAGTTGAGTGATGATTGGTCGGTTCTTGATTGAGGCTGTGCGGCCTGTGCCCGCTTTCTGGTAAAACACGTCCCCATAGCTTTCTCGGCCTTTTGGCGAAGTAAAATCAAGCGCACTGCATCTGTTCTGATCAGTTTAACATCGGATCCCCGTGGTCCATGGGACCACACGATATTAAATTAACTTTTCTGGGCTACGGTCGGGTCGTACGGGTGAGCTTCAAGCTTGCTTGCCCAACCCCTGCATTGTTGCCTCTGTATTGCACTGCAGCAGAGTGCGGCGCGGCCCTCCTCCCCTCCGGGAAAAAAAAAAAAAAAAAAAAACCACGTCCCTATGCTTGGGAAAGTGAGTAGGTTCCCAAAAAAAAAGAAAAAAAAAAAGAAAGTGAGTAGGTTGGGAAAGTGAGTAGGTTGGGATAGTGAGCACGTCGACCGTGTGGTGTCACGTGAGTCACGTGACCAAACAATCCGCATCCTTGTGGCAGTGAGTGCTCCCCACGTGTAAAGGCCCCGCCGAAAATCGTTGCCGCAGGTAATTATGGGCTCTTAACCTTACCGATTTTGATGTGCCACGTGTCCCCCTTTTTTTTTTTTTTTTTGGATCGCCCTACTCTGAATCGAATACGGACTTTCGGTTTCTTCGGAGTTTCACCGACGCATCATATGTATGGTATATATATTTTTTGTTTTTTTATACAGGTCTCCGGGTTCTTTTTTTTTTTTTTTTTTGTTTTTTTTGTTTGAAACATCTGAGGTGGTGGTAGGGGTGGTGGTAAGAGCAGACACCACTAGCACTTTGGTTCTTTTTTATTTTCTTGCAGAAAAGACTGCTTGACATCCTGGTTGGTCTTGTCCCGTCGTTTGGCCTGTGGGCAGGGGCGGTGGTTGCATGTGGGACTTGTCAGCTGGGATCTGTTTTGTTGCCCCCTGTTCTGTACTGATTGGCTGTTCCCTTCCTCTTTTCTTTGCCTGTGCCTTTTGGCTGTGTGCAAGTGGGTCGATATCACACACGGAGGTGGGGGCTGCCGCCGCTCAACCTACATCCACGTGGGCGGCCTTGTACGCAAGAGGTTCTCAACAGGGCGAGTCATAAGGAAGAAGATAAAAAACTGAATTCATTTTTTCCTGTTTTTCTCCTCCTTTTTTTTCGCTTTTGCGCTCTGATATTCATGTGCCGACAGCCTCCTGATGAGTCGGTGAAACTCCGACGAAACAGTTTGTCACAGCCCCTCGTTTGTTGTCCTCTTCTCTCTCTCTGCCTACGGTTTACCGGGCAGTTCTATTTGTGACGATATATAACGAAAAAAAAAATCCTTGGTTTTTTTTCTGTTTTTTTTTTCGCTTTTGCACTCTTATGTCCTGTTGTCCTCTTCTCCCTCTGCTTACGGTTTACGGGCAGCTCTGTTTGACGATCAATACAACAACCATATTTTGAGGCGGACTAAACACGGAAAAAAAAAAAAAAGGGAGATGTTTTCACATTTGCATTCTGGCTTTTCTAATGGTACACACATGTACCCGTTGACCCTTTTTAATTTATTTTTCCTACCCGTCTTCATCCACCACTACCCCCGACGTCTAAAAGCCTCGCTCCTCGTAACGGCATGCACAAAAGACTGCAAATAATATGGGCATGAATCTCTCCATGTTCTAGCTGAAGATTCAATCTGATTTTGGGTTTTTCTACAATAAAAACATACATTCGCGTTTTATTGTGTTTTGTGCTCTTTTGATTGATTTCCTCTAGCGTTAGGTTATTGATTGATTGCGACTTGCAAGCGTTTCACGTGTTAAGTCCCTGTCAGCATCCCTGTTAGACGGTTTTAGACCCTTTCTCGATTACTGCGTGTCATCCTTTCTTGCGCAGGGGCATGCTTATCAGATTCTCCTCTGTGTCCTCCCAATTCTCTGTATCTTCGATGTTAACGGATGTCCAGTACTTACCACGATCACTTATGATGAGCAGCAGCGGAGTCATATGAGGGCAGACAATTCCGAATCGAACATTTTTGGGAAAAAAGGTCGACGGTGAAAAAGGGACCCAGGGGGGGGGGGGGGGGGGGGGGGGGGTAAAGGGGGGGGGGGGGGGGGGGGGGGGGGGGGGGAGGAAGGGGGAAATGAGGACGTCGAGTGGGCGGGAAGAGAGAAAGATGAGGGAGAGAAAGGGGAGAGAAAGATGAATATTTACTGGAATTATGAGGACGGCAAAAAGGTCGTTACCGTCGTCTGCTCTGGGACTTTTCTTTTCTTTTTTTTCTTTTTTTTTTTCTTTTTTTTTCCCTTTAATAAATGGACGATGAACATTGGACTGGAGATGTCATCTTGAAAATGAGCAGCCCAATGCAAAGCTTGTATGTCTGCATGTTGTGGACCTACAAACCTAACTGACATGCACGCATGCATGCTTTTTTCATCCACGTGTACGTGTTATGAATCTGGTTGCTTGTCAGAAGACCAACACTTGCTCACACAGGCTTCCATGCACTCCCATACATACGCGGAAGGAAGGGGAGAGGATAGGTGTACCGCACCACACAGAGAGGAAGAAACACAGCGGAAGACCTGCCCTTGCGATATGACAGAATACACTGAGAGTGCAGTTCACTCAACAGAATCCCCACAACCAGTCAGAAAGGAAAGCCGAGTAGATCACATCCAGAAAACAATGAAGCAAAGACTGGTCTCGCCCAGTGTTCAAACTGTTTACTAAACTCAGAGAATCGTTTGTCCAGAATAGGCTCAGAAACGTGGTGCACTTCTCACGAGCGAGCAGCACTTTTCCCCCAACCCTGAGTCACGGCTATCTACTACCCCAGAGCCCCTGAAACAACCAGCTCCACCCACAGTGATCCAGATACTGCCTCCAGAGGGAAGCGCCACCCTGAAACAGGCCCATGAGGCCAAGCGCCTCTCAGAAGATGAAGGAGAAGACCAGCACCACAGTCTCTGATGAAGATGACGTGCCAGATGTCTTCACTAGACGAAGTGAAGATCTCCAGCAGCACCACCTTTCCTGACAAAGGAGACCTCTGAGGATGTAAGCTGCAGCTATCCCACACGAATTCCCTCACAGGCGGTTATCACGGTTAACTTAGCCCTCAGTAAAACAAAATTACGAACCTAATCTACCTATCGGTTCAACGGGTGACAGGCTGCAGAATCAGCAAGTCATTGCACACGTTTGTGCTCTGCATACGTAGAATGCGTGCATGCATGCACACATGGTCTGCATACGTAGAATGCGTGCATGCATGCAGACATGGCCATGCCGAAAGCGAAATTCGTAAAGGCTCGTTTTCTCGACTCATGTGGACCATGTGTCCATTTGACTGCAGTCTCCTACCAGTTTCACTTGCTAGAATCCTCGTCCGAGGCCGAAAACGATTCCATACTGACTTTCGCAGTCGTCAATAATCCATCGACGGTAGGCCAAGTGACCCGATTCTGAATGCATCTGAGTGCAATCTCCCTCCAGATTCATGTGATCATGACCGTGGAAGGATGAGTAATGATTGCCTCCTGAGGATGGAATGAGATAGTAATGTAGCCACATTTTGTTTTTCCTTTTCTTTTTCGCTGCCTGAAATGTAGCGAACCATCCGGTCCATAAAATGCCTATAGGTTCGATGATGGGTATATTACAGTCACCAAAGGACAAAAAAAATAAAAAATAAAAAAATCCACGGTGTTGTCTTACTCCTTCTTTCTATGTTATTTATTTATTTCGTCGTTCGGTTTGAAACGGTATTCTCAATATTCTTTGTTGAAATATAGAGTAAGATCATAACCAGTTCGCAGTAGCTGATGCAGATCGCAGGGCTCGATCCCTAGCCCCCACCTTACCTGTGTACAGTATCCGTGCCGACACCTAGAGTTGAACCTGCGACCTGTCTATTTGTAACAGTTGGTAGGTTGTCGTAGGGTCCATAGGTAGCAGGGGTTTG